ACTACTATTAAAAAAGAATATTTTTTAATTCACTATATATACTATATAAGGAAATAGTGTACAGCTAATTCCTACCACAAAACCAGTAATTTGCTAAGGGACTAAACCTAGTACTGGGAGAAGTTTACACCTGCTTTCAGCTTTCTGCTACTGTTTCAATCTTACTTTCAGGAATCCTATTAGAACTGCACAGTTAGTGGCCACATCCAAAAGGCCAAGTAAGGCAATTTCTTCACTGAAAGGAAGCACTGAGTATTGTAATTTAAATTTCAGGACAAAGAAGACAGGTACTAGAGGGCACTGTGTTTAGCTTAATGCAGTGCTAGAAGTCTTCCCTTCTGCCCTCCCTAAACCCTCTCCCCTAAAAGGAAAGAGACAAGACTTGTGATATGCAACGTAATGATTCTGTACATATGTTTAAAATACTTAAGGTTGGTAAAATAGTTCACTCTTATATAATCAGAACACCCCATGAAATATAACCTGCTCCAAATGGAAGAGGTACAGAGTATGTGCTTACAGCCATACCACACAGCAGCTATTTAACTTGCTCAGGTTTTATTTTGAAAGCATGTATTCTCTGAACAACTTTTTTGGGTGACATTTTAAATTCAAAAAGTATTATCTCTGAACTGAAATAGATAGCCTGTCTCAAAAGCTCAGCTGAAATGCAGGAACACAAGGATGAATTTGGCATGTAACAGTTGTTACTTCTCTCCAGTTGGCTTTAGTTATATAGAGCTTTATGTTACAGAAAGCATGGCATTTAAATTTTTCCAGGATTGCTTTTGGTTTAGGAATTCATGAAAAAAGATTTTGTTAGAGAAACATTGAATGGATTAAGTTAAAATTTTTTTACCCAAAATTTTGAAATGCCAGGGCCAAAGTCAGAGCTCTGTTATTTCATCTCATGTATGCACTTAGTTCCACATTAGCAAAACTTCTCCAACAAGGTTTTCTGTTTGCTTTATAGAATTAACACATTACAAGATTGATAATGAATATGTGGAAAAAGTGCAGGCCAACAAAAAGATGAAGGCCTTATTCAAATACCAGGTTCTGCAAGGTGATGAGATATTTCCAGCTATCTTGGGAAAAAAATCACAGAATGGTTTGGGTTGCAAAGAGACCTTAAATGGTCTCTAAATCTAAAATGGTTCGGGTTGCAAGAGACCTCTGGTTCCAATCCTTCTGCTATGGGCAGGGGCACCTTCCACACCAGACCTGATTGCTCAAAGCCTCATCCAACCTGGCCTCAAACACTTCCACGGATGGAACATTCACAGCTCCATCTATTCCAGTGCCACACCATCCCCACAGTAAAGAATTTCTTCCCAATGTCTAAAACTAAACACAACCACTTCCAGTTTAAAACTACTACCCCTTGTCTTATCTTACACATCTTTGTGACAAGTCCCTCTCCATCTTTCTTTTAGGCCTGTTTAGGGGCTGGAAGGTCTCCTTGGAGCCTTCTCCAGGCTGAACAACCCCAGTTCTCTCAGCTTTTCTTCACACGAGAGCTGCTCCCTGTTCATCTTCATGACCCTCCTCCAGAGTCACTCCAGCAGGTCCACACACTTCCTGTGCTGGGTGCTTGAGAACTGGACACAGTGCTCCAGGTGGGGCCCCAGTTCTTGAGTTTCATTCAAGACATACTCTAAATATAATAATGTACTAATAATATTAATGGGAGCCAAGTATTTTAATTTTGTCTACTATTGAAAAATGAAATTAGTATGGTAAAACTTCAACATCAGAACTCAGGGCTGTGGTAGCTTAAAAAAAAGTTTGCTATTTAGGATTTTCCAGTGAATTTTCTTTTGTTTTTCTTAGTTTAATATTTTAATCTATTAACCCAGCATTTTTTTGATTTAATATTAGAATTATATTCTTCAACTGGAGAGCTCATTATACATATATATTATTCATATATACAGCATGCTCAGATACAGAATTACAAATTTTTGCATATAGAAGAATTAATTTGTTTCGAAGATAAATTTGAATTTACATTCTCAGTCTGAGTGTTCAGGCTGCCTCCTTTAAAACTGATAATTGAGATAAACTCCATCAGAACTGATATTTGGTGTCTGCCTATGTGAACTCTCCCTTTTAACTCCATGGTATGATTTTATTAAGAACCATTCCACAGCTGGGAACAACTGGGTGTGTCACCCCTAAAAAGCTGGGTAAGGAAGTGCTTAACATTTTTAAATAGTAACCATGCTGACAACAGAGTCACTAAGCTTGTATTACAGACTTACTTTGACAGAACCAAAAAATAATCAAATGAAGTATTAAGACAATCTTGCATAAGTATAAATAAGTTGCAAAAATCTTCACTAACTGCTGGGTTTTAAAACAACATCTCCAATTATAAATAATTAAACCCTATGCTGAAAACAAAAATCAAATATACCAAAAGAACTGAAGAGGACACATATGCACTTACACAAATAACTAGCCACTGAACAAGAGGATATGCATATGACTGCCAGACAGGGTATGTGAAGAATAGTCCATCTGGATGATCCTTCTTGGAACACATGACATATTGCAGTACTATACCAGTGAGCAATAACTTCTGCAGATTTACAGAAAGACTGAACTATAAATCTCAGACATTAATCCACACTCCCATTTTCACTGGCAGAAAATAAACCATCCATGCCAGGACCATTTTTCCACACCACCCAACTACTAATCTTGCTGATCTGGCAAAGCATAAAGTTTGCAAGGCTTGGAGCAGCAACCAGTAATTTCAGCCAGCCTTTTTCACACAAACTTCTAAACAATAAAATTTTAAGGAGCTTTTCCTTTGCAAAAAGGATAATCACATAATCACTTGGAACTGAAAGTCTGGGTATGTAAGAGGATTCTTGCTTCTCTTGCCCCAGATTACTTCTAGTAATTATAGAGGTTTCACATCATGCCTGTGCATCGTCTCAGTTGCAAGAGAAAAATACAAGAGAAAGTTTTAACCTCCTCGCCAGATAGAAAGATTATTTTCTCAGAACAGATTCTGTTAATGAAGAATCGAGAGTCTTGACCTTAACTCAGGTGACACAAGAACACTGCACCACATAACAGAGTTTGGTAACTCCGAATGGCTTTGTGGTGGTGTTGATTAGACAGTGCTATCAGTGAAGGCATGGTGAAAGGCAGCAAACACACTCAGAAATAAAGTACAAGGAGAAAATAACTTTTCCTGTTGGGAAGGGATGACCCAAATGGGACAGGATGGCAGTCTGAGATGCCAACAGCCTGAGGGCATATGAGTTCCCTCAAGATAAAAAGGAGATACCACACATAACTGCCAGGCAGCAGAAACAGGAGAAGCCCATGGAACACCACTTCACAGAGCTCATCCTCTTCAAATGGTAGGTGTTTCTCCCAAAGACCTGCCCAGCATCCAGAGGTGTTAGATCAATTGAACAAGTGTGACAGGGACAGAGATGCAACCTCCCAGACAGTGTGAAAGACTGGTTTTGCTGTTACATAAGATGACAACTCTCGTGTCCTCCTTAGCAGCAGAAGCAGACCCACCCTTTTAATGGTACCTTCCTCTGACCAATTTTCGACATCCAAGGCAAAGCAAGCACCTTGTCACACCTGACAGTACAGGCATGTGTCCTACCAGCACCCTGCTCTCCGCCACCCCAGCCCTGTTAAACTGACTTTTCTAAGCAACAGTTTATTTAATCTATTTTGGGTAGACAAAAAAACCTGTGCTAACAGTGGTGCAACAACAGAACACAGCAGTCCTCTTGTGGTGTCAAAATACACACTGCTTCAGGCACACATTAATGTTATCCCATACAACATATCACAGCTGCTTTAAGATGTGGGCAATTAGCCTCAGGTGACAGCAGCTAAATGAATTTGCTTAGGAATGTTAGAAATCCAAAAGTTAAATGCAATCTTTTAAATAAGTCAGCAGATGAAAAGTTTTCCTTCTTTGAGACAAGAAATTATTCACTTTTAATTATGAAACTAGAGTTAACAGGATAACACAAAAGCAAGACACTAAATAGTACCCCTTTTCTGAGGCCTGGCATCCTACAAGTTTTGAAGACATTTGTAATTCATCTTGAATATATGAAATTACTTATTTCTATTAAATAATAAAAAAGACACATCAGATAAAATTCCTGATCAGACAGCATTTCTCTCCTGACACAACTATAAATCTCTCTGAAAATCCTCTGAAGAATAGCTTGCCCTCTGGGTAATAAAATTATTTCTATAATTAACTTTTCAATGGAGAGAGTTATCTTCGTGTAACTTATTTCCTTCATTTCTTGGAATAAAACTTCCCTCCCATCCCTCTCCGACCTCCTAAATACATCAAACGTGCTATCATAGTTAGGACACCACTTTACAGCATGCTCAGATACAGAAGTTTTGAATTACTCTGTAAGCATTTAATACACGCTGTGGGACTGTCATATGATATATAACGTGTGGAGAAGCAAACTCATACTGAAACAAATTACAAGAACATGGTTGGATAGCTGGCAGCTCTTTTGACTCTAACCCAGACCCCCCGCACTGCTGTCCATAAGAAGTACTCAATAGTTAAATCTGCTTTTTTGAAATACACTAATTAAACCATTGCTGAGAAGGTACGATGTAAAACCCCTGTTGCCTCGTGACAGCTTCAAATTCCAGCCTTACTCTCTGCTCACGGAGCTGGGAAGGGAACTGGCGGTGCTGAAAGGACCCAAAAAAGCCTCGGTTACAGACCCACTGGATGAATTTCACGGCTGACCTCACTTGGGTGCCGCGGTTTAACGTCGGGACAAGTTGGACAACATACCTTGCACAACAAACAGTTTGCTATCTCGACCTTCCCGGGGTTCCAGCTTGTTGCTATTGGCGCTGCTGAACACCAGCTCCTGACCGCCTCCAACCCTCCCCAGCCATTCCCTTGGAGCAAACCTCCACCAAAATAACTCTTGCTAGGGCTTTGTGGGTAAATTAAGCACGGCAGAGTTTACCAACCCTCCAGCTTTTGGCATGACGTAGGAACCAGCAGAGAGAATACCAGCGTACTGGAAGGGTGCCAAGTCCCTAAACACCAGATTAGTGAGAAATTACATTTCGGGTATGAGCCAAAGACTGGAAGACACATTGCCATCTCATGTATCAGACCTCAAAACAGTATGAACTTTCATTCTGAAACCAGGCAGAAAGCATGTCAACAGGCTACCAGCCGATCCACCTATAAGAGATTTCTTTCTAACTAAAGCAGTTACATGTCATTTCACAGTATTTTTTCCCTATATTTACAGAAGGATTACTGCCTGTTCCTCTTTGATAAAACTGGTAATTTAAGACAGGAATCAATCCTTCACATTTAACTTGACAGGTTTCCAGCAAAACCCACTAAAGATTTTTTGGGTTTTTTTGGAGACAATGAATTCATCCTTTTGTCCCAATATAATAAAAACAGTTCATACTGTAACAAATCAAGATGCCCTAAGATGATTTTTGTCTCAACTCATTTATCTTAAAACACCTGTCTGTAAAGTTTCACCTTAATCTCTCAGAAACTGGTTATAAAATTCTTATTAGGAGACACAGCAGTCTTGAAATATGAAAATCTACTAAATATATTACAGAACCAAGCCTCTGATATTTCACAGGAAAACTCTCACCTCCATAAACATACCAATTACCCTTTGTGTAATTCAGTACTTAGTTTCTACTCACACACAAACACATGCCCCTTGACAGGGGATGTGACACTCAGAGACAAACACCTGACTTGGAGTGGCAAGACCAGCAGTCCTTTGGGAACACCATACCTAAGCCTCAAATCCATTAGAATAAGTATCAGAAGTACCACCTCAGCCTTTCAGATTTACATTAGTAATCACAAATCATAAAGAAAAGTGATGCTTTTATTTAACGATTTTGCTCCAAGTCTAAAATAAGCTGAACAGTTTCCATGTCAAATTAAATGTTGTAAATATTCATTGACAATAAGTTTTCTTGTAAGGTATTATTATAATACTTCATTTTTTAAATTACATTTCTGCAAGTCTTATCCACTATCTTAAACAAGGATTAAACCCTCACCACAGTATTCAGAACTGCTCATACCAGATTAAAAGAATTTTCCATAGGCAAACATTAAAAAAAAAAAACCAGACTGTGAAAGGGATTAGAGGGAGAAGGGAAAGGAGAAAACAAAACCACAAAACTCACTTGACTGTAACTCGATTGGACAAATCCTGAAGATCTCCTGGGTGAAAAAGCTGAGCTTCTTTCAGTCCAATGTTTTCGCACGCTTTCAGAAAAACATTTATATTATCCTGCAAAGAGAAGTAGAAAGCAGTTGCTCAGTTAAGAGCACTAAGCAGGTTTTGCAAGATGATTAGTGCGAGCCCTTAAATGTCAAAGTCCAGCTCACGTAAATAATACTGGAAAAGCAATCTTCTGGATCATAAACGCTGCTCGTTTCTCACGCACGCAGGCAGGCTGGGCTGCGATCTCAGGGACTGAGGGGTACGTTAAAGATTACCTGGCATAAGGCAGCGGTGAGCCAGTAGGCAGCAGTCTCCACTTTGATGTCAGCTCTGCTCAGCAAACAAACGCCCTCTTCCTAGCTTTGCACGACAAGCCTCACCTCTTGCCTTTAAAAATAACTCCAGCTACTGACATTCACCACCCAGAAACTCTTGGCAGGGGAGGAAGAAGAGGAGGGACGCTCCGTTTCTATGCTCACAGACTGATGAGGGAATACTGCACCTGGAGTCTGGGTTTGGTTGCTGAGCAAAGCTCCGGAGAGACAGAAACCAAACTGTATTCAGAGCTGCTGCTGCCTCACTTGGGGGGGTTTCTCTGCTTCGAGTTCCTCCCCTTCCCCTTCCAACACCCACACCCCCCCCAAATTCACACTGATCTTAACAAAACATAGGTGCAGCACCCACTCTCTGCACCTGCTGCAGGATGGACTGACCCATGAGAGAAACCTTAAAAAAGAATAAATCTAATGATAAATAGAGAGATTATACAACTTGTGATCTCTTTCCACTTCATAAACAGTGGGCAATAGGCAAGAAATTCCTTCTCGTTAAGGCGGAATGCTATCAACAACAAAAGAATGTGCCCTCTTGCGCACTTGCTTCCTTCAGCTGCAAGCCAAAGGAAAAGGTACATGAAGTTACTTAATTCATAAGCTACAGGCAGCCCTGTCATGAAGGGTTTGTAAGTCAAGGTGCTGGTATCAGAATTTCATAGTATAGAAAATATATTGCTCTGCTTTAGCAATTTAATATGCTTTAAACTTTTCTTTTTAACACATAATCACTGGATGTAAGTTATTCTTTCATTTAAAATCCATTTTAAAAAAAGCAATCAACAAAGAAAATAACAGCTGCTTCTAATATAGAAAGTAAAACAAACCCAAGAATCCCCACAACCTTCTGTTTTGAAGGTCCCTGGGATTCTAGTATTTCTTATCAGTCTGTAAACATGGCTTAATTCAAGGAAAATATTTGAGCAAGGTATTCCCCATGCCTTCCCCAGGCTGTGGGCTCTGCGTTACCACATCTGAAAGATCCCAGGTGTCTCACTCCGTGAAGGTTAGCCCCAAGGCCTGATGTGATGCACCATGGAGGGAGCTGCTCTGCTGCAGTGGGGTGCAACATGATGGCAAACGTGGGGAACACCATGTGGTGGCAGAGGAGAGGAGGAAGCTGGGAAGGATGGAGGACAGGCAGCCTCACCTCTACCCAGGCACTGGCCCCTGCAGTGAGTACCCAGGTACTGCCTGCACATTTGCCCAGGGAAGAGCTTTGTGCTGAGATGCAGCCTCGGAAGGGGCATTTCTTTACCCTTTCCATGCACTGCCTCTTTTTTCTTCACATGCAATATGGGGAAAGCTGGCTAGATGTGTCAGCTTTATTCATGTTGGAATATCACATTAGTACCAAAACAGCAAGAACTTGAAAAGGCGTTGTTTCCTCTGCATGGAAGAAGCCACAGGCTACAGTCCCACTGCAAGAGGAACTACTTGCCAAACAACTATCCTGTCAGTGTTCAGGGGACTAGGGAGTCTAAGAAACTGACAAGTAAGGCACAAGAAGAAAGCCGCAGAGCAGAAAGAATGAGTAACTCCAAGGTAAGGAACTGACACCAACACCAGTGAAGGCAACGTGGTCTGATCAGTCTGACTAGTCACCATAACAGCTCAGAGCAAACTCCCAGACCAATGGGTTATGTCAACCACAGGGCTGCAAATGAGCACATTGTGCAGGTGAACAAGGAAAAATAGTCAGATTTAGAAAAATAGATGTTGTCTACACTCTGAGAGCAACAAAAACAAAACAGAGGAGTTGCTCATCAGTGGATGCTTGGCTGCACAACCACCAAACTGCTGGCACTTGAGAGAATTGATTTTGCAGGTGTTTCAGCAATTAAACCTATCAAGCACCAACCTCCTGATAAATATCACTTACAGCCCCTGAGAACATCTCTGCTGACAGGAGTCAGAACTGTCAGGAGTCAGAAGCAGGGAGAGATAACATGGAAGGCACCGTTAGTTACAGTGCACGCGTGCAGGATAAAACATGGTTCAAAATCTTCCTTCCCTCAGCTCCCAAGCCAGAATTTTGATCACGCCTGCCATCTCAGGTTACTGCCCCAACACCAGCTGTTCTGCACTCAGGGCCTGGAAATGAGCCTCACAGCATCAAGAAGTGACACACCCAATAGGCTATTTATCAGGTTTGGATATTGACACCAAAAGGTATCATTTAAACACATCAGCACTTCTAAATAATGACCTCACCGAGTTATTCTTGACCATCCCTAATCATCATAGTTACTCTGCAAAGCCACAGGTCTCAAAATAGCTAGCAGCCATTCTAAGCTATCAGAATAATGAATGAGAAGATGAATTTTAAATAGCACCATGGAAATAAGTAGAAAAAAAAAAGACAAGTTATCAACCTTGCAATTAAATTTATCATTAGAAATGTGAACAGGAACATTTTTCAGTGATTAATGCACTCAAATATAGAAGCCATTACACTATTCCTTTTACCAATGTAACTGTACTTTAACAAACTAATGGTCACTGCCACTGCAGTGGACATTCAAAGGACATACTGCAATCTGAATCTCATCACACTTCACAAAACTGGTTCTATTTAAACAACCAGACCTCAAAATCCCAGAGAAGCACAACACACCAGACAAAAGTCACTGACAAGATGTGCTTAAGAGAAAAATACTCACGCTTGCATCCACCACCCTCCTCTGCCACCAAGGTATTCTCAGTCTTTGTAAACACAAGCCGGCTATTTAAATTTAAGAAAGAAACAAATTAGCAGAGAAATCTATTATGAGGATAAAGAAAGATGAGGGACTTAGGACAAACTGGAGAATTTGATTCCATTATACCAATAAAGTGGACCATGAGAGGCAATAGTGGTGCCACCTATCAGCACAAGAGAAGCAAAACCATAAGGGGAGAGAAAAGCTGCCCATTTCAAAAACAGGGATTCATCATTGGGCAGATCAAATACATTTTTGCAGAAAACATAAGGTTCTGACCATTATTAGGGAAAGCTCTTGAAGTAACAGGAATAAAATCAAGTTAACTTTTGTTCATGTTATTAAGAGAACTCAATCACTGCATTTCCCAGAGCATCTGAAGTTGGAACAAACATCATAGAATTGCAGGTTTTAAATCACAACAAAAATAAAGCCTGAAGTCTAAACCACAAAATTCAAGTGTAATTCATTTCTGGTATGCTGTTATAACTTCTAAGTGTCTTAGTGAGAGGGGGTGGAGAGGCTTGAATGAGTCTGTGGGAAAGGCTGTTTTCTCCCCAAATGGTGTGCATGATGGAACAGCAGAGAATTTCAAATGTTCCTAGCATGGCCTGAGTTTTCCATACGCTGTACAGACTTATAATAAATGCACAACGTAGAACACTGACTAGATAGAGCTATTACTCCTCAGTATTCCATTTTTGCCTCAAACTTCAAAGTGAACCACACCCAAAAGCTCTGCAAAGTCATAATATGGGAGAGACAGAGCTGCCAGTGGGAAGCAGGTCATCCACGAGCAGGCTTTTAAATCACGCTGTTTGGGGAAAAGACAAACAATACCATACACTTTCAGCTCTGTACCTGACTTTCTGGTTGCCATGGGGCATCACTAGGCACAAACCCTTCCCTCTGCCTGTTGTTAAAGCATTTCCCTCTAACCGATGCTTTGAAGGAGCCAAGATGTCATCTCTACCCTGAAAATGAGACTGTGGTCCACACCCTCCCCCATCATCCAAGCAGAGCAGGATTGCCTCTCACTCCTGCAACTCCATGGACTTGAGAGGAGAGAGCTGAGTCTTTCCTTCACTTGCTGGTCCTCAGTTTTGCTCCTGCTTCTAGGCCTGGGGCAGGGAAGCTGTGCCAGAGCAGGTGAATGTGAGGAGAAGAGCAGGGCCCCTGCTGCAGGGTTCCTCATCCCTATCACTATCCTCCAGACCACAAAGAAGAAAGAAGCTGGTAACTCTATGGGGAAACACAAGAATATGGACACCTTCCTTTAAATATAACAATTTTAAAGAGAAACTTAAAAAAACAACAAAAAAAATATTTGAGGCAGTGGGCAGTGGTTCTGTGTTGTACCTGTGATCAGCTCCTACTGTAAGTCACCTTGGCAAGAAGTTGAAAAGAAAGATAGAGAATGCCGGTGAGGTGCTGGTTGTGGGCAAATACAGAGGTTCCTCAACACCTGAAAAACTGAGGAAAAGAGCACTTCTAAACCAAAAGCAACACGAAAGTAAGAGAAAAGACAAGAGATGCAGAAAGGATCAAGAAGAAGTTGGCCTTAAGTAGGAAGAAAACCCCAAAGCCACCTACCTGAGAAGGGACATAAGTGTGGAGTGTGCAAAAAAAAAACATTTTAAAAATGTCTAAAGTAAAAGTTAATTAAGAGAGGTCCCCCCATAAGAGTGTGTAAATACCATCTTATTTTGACTACTTATGTGCAACATGACATCACACTAAATTCAGCTTGTGTAATAGAGCTGCAATTTTATTTAAAAAAAATCCCTCATTATCATGATGATCTGGGTGGGTCAGGAATATTAATTTAAACAAGTGTGTAAATACATTTACTTTCTTTGGGGTGCAGTCATGCTGTGTGGTATGCCTGGTCTTCTCCCCAGTTAACTGTTTCTCTGAATCCCTGCATATGTACCAAAACACAAAGAAATCTCGTAGGCATACAAGTTATGGTGCATCTTTCAAATCACTTGGCAACAGGGAGAAAAACAATTTAATTGGCATGGTGTTTTTC